CGGCAGAGGCTGGAGTCAGTAGCCAGTGAGGTGTCCAAAGCTGTGGACAAGGAGCTGCAGGCAAGTCCTAGGGCAGGGAAGAGGCCAGTGTTGACCAAAGCCCTAAACCAGGAGCTGTGGCAGAGCAGGGAGCCTGGGTCTCTTCCTGCTAGCTTTGACCTCAGCCCCGGAATGCTGACCTCCCCACTCTGGACTCTGGTCCTTAGACCCGCTCCCCCACATCTATATGAAAGGGTAGAATGAGCTCCACTACCAGCCCTCTGACTGAGGCGAGTCCTTCGGTCTCCCCAAGGGAGCTGAATCAAGAGGGTAAAGTCTTTTTGCTGTGGTGCCAGCCTTAACCCTGTCCTCTTGGGTCTCTGGCCTCCCCACCCCCCACTAGGTGATCCTGGAGTCCATGGTCAGCCTAACGCAGGAGTTGTGCCCTGTGGCCATGCGCGTGGCTGAAGGCCACAACAAGATGCTGAGCAACGTGGCAGAACGCGTCACTGTGCCCAGGAATTTCATCCGAGGGGCACTGTTGGAGCAGGCCGGGCAGGACATTCAGAACAAGCTGGAGTGAGCTTGGAGGGTGGGGCTGGGGGTGGGGCTGGATTGGGCCCAGAGCACTTAGGGACCTGGGCGATAGCTATCAGCAATGAATAATGAATGGCCCGATCTCCATTACAAGGGATAAATCTTTAACCAAATGCAACCTTGCTATTTAGGGTCTGACTGGTCTTTGACCTAGAAAGCTAAGTGCTGAGCTGGGGTTTAGAAGCTAGGCTGGTGCACACACGGGTGTACACACACATACCCACACACACACCAGGAATCGCCTCCTAGAAACAAAACACAGCCTCCTAGGAGCCATGGGCAAAGGAGCAGGGGGCAGCCCACGTCCCCAGGGATGCAGGTGGAGTACCTGGATACCTGCTTCTTCCTCCCCGGAATTCTCTCATTCTGGGTCTGGGTGCCGCCACTCACCAAAGCAAAGGAAAAGTAATACATGTACCCATGAAACAGCCGGGCCCCAGAAGTACTGGTTTCCACTCTTAACGGAAGCAACCAGCAGGGTTCACACAGCATGCCGGTCTACCTAGCTCTGTTCCACTGAGGTACCTGGGACCTCCTCCAGCTCTACTTTGCCAGCCACGGGGGGCTGGGGATTCAGTAGCTGAGACTGGATATATGTTTATGTAGACATGAATGTGATGGGGGCTACAGCTGTGTTCTCCCCAGGTAGCCAGGCCCATTCTCTCAGGCATCTGGGGATGGGAGGTTCTGAGACCCAGGGCCAGCCCAGGGGGTAGGGGGTGGCTGAGCAGCCCTGCCTGTGCCCACAGTGAAGTGAAGCTCTCGGTCGTCACCTACCTGACCAACTCCATAGTGGATGAGATCCTGCAAGAGCTGTACCACTCCCACAAGAGCCTGGTAAGGCTGCTGGGCCCCAGCCAGGCTCAGGCCTGCCCTGCACCCACACTATCCATCTCCCCAACCACCCTCCCTGTCGAAGCCCTGGGAAGGCGGGCACTTTCTCTGGGTCCTATGCACACCCATCCTTCCCCAGGCCAGGCACCTGACCCAGCTGAGGACACTGTCAGATCCAGCAGGGGGACCAGGCCAAGGGCAGGATCTGTCCTCCAGGGGCCGAGGCCGGAACCATGACCACGAGGAGACCACAGACGATGAGCTTGGGACCAACATCGTGAGCACCCACACCTCCTGTCCCCTCCCGAACCTGGCCCCTGCCTGGCACCCTGCACACCTCTGTCCCCTTCCACCTCTCTGGGTTCCAGCTCTACTGCCCTGTGCTTGCTTGGCCTGCCCCCAGTCCCAACCCAGCCCAGGCTCTTTCCTCATCCCAGCATCACAGCCACCTGAGGAGAGGTGGGCAGGGTGGACTCCTAAGAAAAGGCGTTAAGAAGAATAGGAGAGTCCCAATGAGGCTCTGGGACTTGCCACCTGGCCCCATTATTCACCTCCATTTCTGCAGGACACCATGGCCATCAAAAAGCAGAAACGTTGTCGCAAGATCCGGCCGGTGTCTGCCTTCATCAGTGAGTCCCCAGCCACAGTTCCGATGTCCTCCAAGCTCCCGCCCCTTCTCGGGCCCACTCTCCTTTTCTTTTTCCTCTGTCCATCCTGTCTTTTCTCTGTCCCTTTTGCTAGTCCTTCTAACATGGCTGTCCCCACAGGTGGGAGCCCTCAGGACATGGAAAGTCAACTGGGAAACCTGGGAATCCCTCCTGGCTGGTTCTCCGGACTCGGGGGCAGCCAGCCCACAGCTAGTGGCTCCTGGGAAGGTCTATCGGAGCTGCCCACTCATGGCTATAAACTAAGACACCAAACACAAGGGAGGCCCCGGCCACCAAGGACCACCCCTCCAGGACCTGGTCGGCCCAGTGTGAGTCCCTAAGGCCTTGGGAAGGACCAACCTCACTTACCAATGCCAAGAGTTCTGGCTTCAGTGCCTAGATGCCATGGACACTGTCCTTGGGGGATGGGGGATGGGGGGTGGGGTGGGAGCCCAGGCAGGATATTGAACGGATGAGGGCTTGACCTTATTG